TCTACAAACTGTTTCTTATCTTGTAGACCCTTTCGGGACCAACATTCTTTCATTTGCAAGGAACGACGTTAAACATGAGCTCCGCTTATCATCCGGAATCGGATGGTCAAACAGAGGTGATAAACCGTTGTTTAGAGACGTATTTGCGGTGCTTTGCCATTGATCAGCCTCGTTCGTAGGCATTGTGGATTCCGTGGGCAAAGTTTTGGTATAACTTGACGTTTCACAATTCTATAGGTCGGTCACCATTCAAAATTGTCTATGGCCGTAAACCACCGACGGTGGTTCAGTTTATTCTGAGGGAAGTACGAGTGGAAGTTGTGGGGGAGGAATTACGTGATCGAGATGAAGCCTTGAGGCAACTCAAAATGCAACTAGCTCATGCGCAAGTGTTGATGAAAGAACAAGCAAATAAAACACGTCGAACTTTTCAAATTGGTGATTGGGTATATGTTAAGCTGAAACCGTACTGTCAGATGACAGTTGCTAAACGAATTTATCAGAAGCTAGCAGCTCGATTTTTTAGACCTTTCAAGATTATCGGAAAAATCGGTCCAGTTGCTTACAAAGTAGAATTACCTCCGACGTCACGTATCCATCTCATATTTCATATCTCTTTACTTAAAAAAGTTGTGATGTCACCTACGTTGACACAGCTCTTACCACCTGAGTTGGAATTCGATGTCAAGGATGTTTTATTGCCGCAGGAGATTTGTGAGAGACGTATAGTGGAACAAGACGGAAAATCAGTGGATCAATGGCTAATTCGTTAGCAAGGGCAGGTCCGAGAAGAAGCCACGTGGGAGGATGCTAGCATAATCAAGGGCCAATTTCCGTATCTAAGTCTTGAGGACAAGACTTTATTGGAAGGAGAGAGTAATGTTACGAATCCTCCTAAATTGGATGTTTTACCCAAGCCCAAAGTTTTGAAGGTATATGTAAGACGGTCCAAGAAATGATAAGGTTTATTTTTACCTTGCTTTGGGAATATGTCTAATAAATAGGGGGGATACCTTTAGCTTCTAGGCATTCGGTTATTTTTCTAAATAGTTACTTGTGACTCATAGCTCCTCGCTTTGAGAGAGGGAAGTTTTCCTGGTGCAGTGATCATCTATGTTTTGGTAATTTTCCGCTTTTAATTGCAATCAAACCTTCTTTCTATCCTTCTTCTACTTCTCTGTTCTTCTCATATTTGAATTCGTATCATATGGCATTCATCGTGAATAATTTCAGTATTCACTTTATTCGTCATGAATAGTTGGTTCTTAATGAGTTTATGGTTCACATTTGAACTCGTCCCCAAACAACAAAATATATAAGTCGACTTCAACTTAAAAACGTCAATTCAACAAGTAAAACAAAATAGAACACTAATATATTCAGGCATGTGCATGTAGATTGTAATGGGATCATATCAGATTTGATTACATGCTAAAATCTCACTAGGCAAATCTATCCATATAGTCACGTTTGTAACATAGAGGGACTATGGTATGCAAACTAATCCTAAAAAGCATGTGAAACCACATGCTTAATAGTGTGTGTCAATGAAATCACTTGAATCATGTAGTGCGAGATGTATACTACGAGCCTTAACACAACGGAAATCAATTAAAAACAATTTAAAGAAGAAAAAACAACCTAATCTAGACTATATGCAAAAGAAAAACACTCACCCACAAGCAAATAGGACCATTGAGACAATTACAGGGAAGGAGAGGGGAACTTATGGTTGTAGAAAATTGAGGGAATACATGAAGACTCGTTCATTGTCACGAGTTTAACTTCAGAATTAAACGTTAAGGGGGATAAGGTGTTCGATTAGCATCATGAACTCGACGAACAATTATCTTATAGAGGAAAAAATGTATGAATCGGTGAAAGTCAAATGATTGACTTAAATGGTCACCGATTCGTATAGGTTGCGTGAACACAAGAATGACAGTCCGATAAACAATATGTTCTTGTTGTAGAATACTTTACACAACTCATAACCGAAAACTAAACAAGGGGTAAAAAAGAAGGATCAATGATGTCCGACCTGACAAAAGAATCACTTAATAGAGAAGATAATAAAAATAGCATACAAGAGACAGTTATCGAGATAGAGCTAATATCACACATCATTTCTAATGGTGATAACTATCTTAGGGGTCGTTTATCAAACACTTACCTGGTAAGCGCTTACCGGTAAAATATAACACTATCATTTACTTACCGGGTAAGATTCTAGTTCACCAAAACGGTATCTTATGCAACAAATTTACCCGGTAAGCACTTATCGTGGTAAGAATCGTCGCTCTCACTTACCGGGTAAGACTCTTGGTTCTTGTCTCGCTCTTATCGGGTAAGATTTTTTATTCTTACCATGTCCATCCGGTAAAGTAATGACTTTGTGTTCCCTTACCCGAGTAAGCATTTGGTAAACGACCCCTTAGTCTTACCAAACACATGTTTCAATGGCTCGCTATCCAACATCCTTTGTTTGTGAATTGTGACTCTTCATTCTAGTCTTCAAGTTGGCCAAACTACACAAACAAAAACTTCAAATACTTTTAAACCAAATAAACCATGAGATAACAGAAATGAAACAAGAAAACAGAAATGGAATAACGACGCAGACTAGTAGGTCCGAAAAAGCATGTTAGCATGATTGTCTTCCCGACAACGACGCCATAAAGTTGATGTATTTTAAAATTTGTAACTGCAAATGTACAAGAAGTATATCATACGGGGTCGATCACAAAGAGACGATGGACTAAACACAAATTTGTTCTAGACTATGGCCTAGCTATGAGAATTGGATTGGTGATTTGATTTTTATACTAATTAATTTGACTATAATAAATAAAACAAGAAAATAATAAAACGAGTAAAGACATGACAAAACGAAGCATACATACTACATACTAACGGGTACTGAGTAATGGTGATGATTTATTATGCAAATTCACTTCAACCCTTTTCGAGGACCAAGATGGAAAACTTTTCTAAACCAAAACCCACATTTATTCTCGTAATATGCAAACGTTGGGAAGAGACAAATATTTTTCTAAATCTACGTCCCTAACTATATTAGTCATTAACAAATTTGAGGACCAAACTTTTGTTCGAATCAAAACCAATCGAATTAAATAAACATTTCACAAAAACGGAATAACCAAAAACTAACTTCCATCAGGTAGAAGCAATCAATTGAAACCCAATGTTTTTATAAAACAGTTTACCAATACCAAAACCCTGATCCAAAGTGACACTTAGGTGACTTTTGTTTTTTAAGAGGTGTTGAAGTCTGAAGTCTTATTTTACTTTTGATTAATAAAAGGTGGTGTTGAAATCTGAAATTTGAATCAGTAAGACTGTTTGTTTTTGCAAATTGATAAATGTCTGAATTTGTTTAAATTGTCTAATTTAGTCATTATAAAATTATATTGTTGAATTTATAGATAAATTTATACAATTTCACATATTTATTCATCATCATTACGAAATTTACATCTAAATTATATAATTAGCATTCATTTAAACAAAAATATGTCGTTAATGGTATTTAACACATTTAAATCATATTAAAATACATCGATTGAGACAGGTGAGGGTCAATTTGGTAAGAATCGATTGAGATAAATGATCGATCAAGGTTAACAATTGAGAAACGTCATTGCTAAGAGTTTGGAGAATAATAAGAGGCAAATAAGATGTTGATTTACCTCTTACCAGATAAGAGAAGAATAAGACATAAGTGTCTATGAAAATTTTGGAAAAAACAAACAGCCTGAATGACTCTACCTCTTAACAAATCAGATATAAAAGACTGATAGGAGCTTTTAAAAAAAAAAACAAACAATGCCTTATCAAATCAAACTATTACCGAGTAAAACACCAAGCAACAAGCTGTCTATTTAGACCTAAATCGAAATCAAAAATGGAGCAAACGCAAGACCAGCTAGACCACTATATGAAATCCTAATTAAAGAGGAACATCAACACATAGAAAAGATGAACAATCGATTGAATGATATTCCAACTCCATCTTTTCAACGATCGTTCATTTTTCTTTCTTCTTTGGCTTCACGATCGATTGAATGAGCTCTACAATCGATGAAATGAAATTTGGTCAATGCAATTAACTATTCTAATTCCTTTCAATTTCTTCAAAATCCGACGAACTAGATAGCATGATCTTATCTATAAGTTGATGCAATAATAAGAAAATAAGTCCTTACATTCCATTTTTTTTTCTTTTTTTATTAATCTGCATGTCCAACCCGTTATGCGAGCCGACTAATCCTAGGACGATCACCTGCTTTGCAGATATTTCGGAGTCACCGTATTTAAACCTCCGTGACCTTAAAAAAATTATAAATTACATTCCATTTTCATGTCTGGTTGACCTATAAGAACGAAAACGGTCATTCAAATGGATTGTTTGGTGTACATGATAAATAGCTGATTAAATTTTATTCAATTGGTTAATAAAATAATATAATTTAAAATAAATATATTTTATATAAAAAGTATTTTTTGAACATTCAGATTTTTAATAAATAGTTAAATGTATATTTAATAGTATTTAAAAGTTTCTCTTGAAATTGAGTTTTTTAATCCAATCATGTAAAATATATAATATCAAAAAAAAACTTTGCATATTGATATAATTTCATTTTTATCCTATTTTCTTCTGATAAATGGCATTAATTTCTCATAATTATATGTTCTTCTTCTAATTGGTACATAATTTACTATATATTAGTGTTTGACATCGCGCGTTGTGCGATAACGATAAATTTTTTAAAAATTTATTGAAATTAGCTAAATAAGTCGATGATCACATTTATATATTAAACTAATAAGAATCAACATTACCTTTGATATATGAATCTAACTTATCATTATTGGTTGTTCTTTTAATATTGTATATATATATATATATTAAGTCTTATATATCAATCTTTTATTATATCAAACTTTGTGATTGGTTCAAAATCATAAAAAAAATATGTGAAAATATTGATTACAATCATGAGGTGTATTAAGAGAATTATTTTACCATAATACATATCAATTTATCTTCTACATATATTTTCATAAAATATTTATATTCACCAAGCAATAATTGTGTTGTTATTTACATTGATATAATTATTGAATATTTTTGCAATTTGCTTATATTGGTTCATGATGTACTCATTTGCAACATTGGTCAAGAACCTCATTGAAACCACTTTTTTCCTACATGCGATTGCATAAAATGAAAATAATAGCTAATATTATGACCATTCTAGATATATAAGAGTCTGATTTATTTGTTATTTTTTCATTTGACTTGTTCAAGCTTTTTAGATTTGTTTTAGACAGTTCATAGTTTGGTTTATTTATAAAAAAAAATCCTGAAAATAGAGGTTTTAATAAAATTATGTAAAATAAAATATATGTATTATATTGAATTTCATATTTTAAATATAGAAATGGAAAAGTCTTTTATATATATCAAATATTTTAAAAAATAAAAAATCTAAGAAAAAAATGGGTTTATAATGTTTAGAGGATAACACCTCACTATGTTTGGTTTCTTCTTTAAGAATTAAAAATATTAGAAAATAATTTCCAAGCTCAATGCTAAAAAAGGAAAAAAAATCACAATAGACTGATTAACATCAACAAAAACAAAAATTCATATCATATTTGTTTTCATGAATGACTCCTCAAATCAACAAAAAAAACAAAACACATCCACAAAAACTGAATAAAGAAGAAGAATTGGGAGATTAAAAGATATTATTATACTAAACAATGTTATCTTATTTCATCAAAAATTCATATGTCATTTTATCCATACACAAAAAAATCATATGCCTACATAATTCCAACTTTAGTGTGAATTCTCTGACTAAAAGACGAAATACTATACTTACGTAAGCAAAAACTCATACTATGATTARTCTTATTGAATGACGCCTCAAATCAACAAAAATGCAAATCACCCCCACAAAATTATAACTAAATAGAGAGAAAGAATTGAGAGATTCATATGTTTGTATAATTCCAATTTTAATGTGAATATCTCCAATTAAAAGATGAAAATACTATATTTACATTAACAAAAACTCGTATCATATTTATCTTATTGAATGACGACTCAAATAAACAAAAGTGCAAATCACCTCAAAAACTGAATAGAGAAGAAGAATTGAGAGTTTTTTTTTTCTTAAATAATGTTACACTATTTTTTCAAGGATTCATACGTCACTTTATTCACACACAAAAACTCCATATGCTTACATAATTCCAACTTTAATGTGAATATCTCCGATCCAATTTTAGTGCAAATATATTTACAATTGAAAGACGAAAATACTATACTTATATTAACAAAAACCCATATCATATTTCTCTTATTGAATGACGCCTCAAATAAACAAAAGTGCAAATCACCTCAAAAACTGAATAGAGAGGAATAATTGAGAGGTTTTTTTTTTCTATCCAATGTTACACTATTTCTTCAAGGATTCATATGTCACTTTATCACACAAAAACTCCATATGCCTACATAATTCCAACTTTAATGTGAATATCTCTGACTAAAAAAAGAAATATTATACTTACATAAGCAAAAACTCATACTATGATTTGTCTTATTGAATGACACCTCAAATCAACAAAAATGCAAATCGCATCCACAAATTTATAACTGAATAAAGAGGAAGAATTGAGAGATTAATAGAGAGATTATCATAGAGGTGTACCACAAAATTATACATGAATAGAGAGGTAGAATTGAAAGATTAATAGAGAGGTTATCATAGAGATGTACCATAAAATTATACATGAATAGAAATGAATAATTGAGAGATTATTATAGAGGTGTACCATGAAGAGAAGATGAAAAATTATAACCGAATAAAGAGAAATAATGAGAGTTAAAATAGTACTTATTAGAGGGAACATGAATAGGTTGAAACAACCTAATTAAAGGATCTTGAATGTGAATATGAAACATAAAAAAATATTAAAGTAAGAGAAGCTTGAGAAAAGGAGAATAAAGATAAATCATTTTCTTGTTTTGAGAAGAGGCCACATCATTGCATGTGGTTTCTTCTTTAATATATATATATATATATATATATATATATAAATTATTGAATTATGAATTTACATAATATAATTTTTTTTAACAAAATAGCATTTCAAGCAAATTTTAAATAAGATTATAATAAATAAATAAAAAGGAGTATATAACAATGTACGTTTTCATTTATGTATAAAAATTAGTCATTTAGGATCGTGATGATGCGAGAGCATCCGTTTTTCATACGACCATGAGAGACCGTGTGAATGATCAGGTTCTTTTTTTCTTATAAAGGTTTGGTGTATTTTTCTTGTGAAGATACAGTTTTTTCATGGGAGGGCTCGCTTTTTGCACAGATTCTGTGTTCTGCTATGATGGTTGTGAAGATTCATCGAGATTAAAAAAAGTCATCCAAAGGCTCCGATATTTTCTACAGATCTCATTAAAATTAGGTTATTTCACATGACCCTATATCTACTTATTTAAATAATAATAAGAATTTTTAATTAAATAATATATAAAATCATATATTATTTTATATTTAGAAAGAAAGATTGTGGGTTATATGAGTTGCTAAAGTCCAAACTTCTGGGGGGAAGGGAGGATATAAAGAAAGCTGCCTACATGTTTTCATCTTCATTTCTCTTTTGGGTGGTGAAGACGGAAAAGGTTTGGAGGCTATTCTTCATCTTTCAAGGTTCAATTCCTCTTTAAAGGTTGGTTTTCTTTCAAATATATGTTCCCATTTTTTTTAATAAAAATATATTTTATAAAACCGTGGTGTCGTAAGTAACTGAAGCTTCCCAAATCTTTTTCGTAAATCGGTGGTCTTTCCAAAAATTAACGGTATGTATACCTCTCATGAAGTAAGGTATATGTGTACTCTGTTCTATGAGATTTACTTTCAGATGTGATATACTGAGTTTGTTAGATTTGTTACTAACAGATTGAATTTGCATGTAAATGTTGTCTGCTTTTTTTGAGTTTACATGTATTTTGTGATTATGTTATAAACTAATTATCATATATATAAAAATGTATTAATCAGAAGAAAGTTTTGGTGGTTTATTTTGTGAAGAATTTTTTTGGGGGGGGGGGGGGGTAAATTACTTTGAGCAAGTAGAGTGGGTTTTTTTAATTAAACTGGATATTCAATCCGTTATGTGAGTCGACTAATTCAAAGACGACTATCTATTTTGCGAGTAGAATGGTTTAATTTGGTCACACATTTATTTAAGTACAAAATATTGAGGGCAAATTGCATGAAAAAGTAACGTACTTTCTATTGATTCTTATTTTAGGTAACGTACTTTTAAAACTTTCATTTTGATACCTAATATGTAAAATTTTAAACATTTAAATATTTGGGTAACCGTTGAAGACTAATTTTCAATTAAAAAAACATGTCACTAACCACGTCAGCAAATATTGCTAATTTGGTTACCACATCAACATTATAATCGGTTAATGTTTCAACCGGTTACCCGGATACTTAAATGTTTAAAACCTTACATCTTAGATATCAAAATAGAAGTTTTGAGAGTACGTTACCCGAAATAGGAATCAAGTTAAAGTACATTACTTTTTCATGCAATTTGGTCTTAAATTTATATGATAAATGATTTGTGTCTTATATAAAAATGTTACAATATCAGTAAATTTAGTTTTTAGTTATTCAAACTTGAAACTGTAAAATTTTACATGAGGTATAATTAATAATCATACAAACTTGAAACCAACTCTCATTAAATTCATACAATATACAATAAAACCAAAAGATGATACAATCAATGTGTGGAAATTTCTCTAAACACTATTCTGAAGGGTCCACAAGGATAAGAATCCCCTGTTGGTGGACCAGAAATGTTACACGATATTTATAAGAATCAATTATTCATTTAAATCAATAGTAATAATTATAAATATTATGTAGTTCGCATTATTTATCATGAATAACTAATTTTATGAGCTTAAAATCACAAAGATATTTAAAATCACAACCCAAATAAATTAAACTCTGTCTTACGTAAAGTTGTCGGAGTACGATTTGCATGGATTTATAATCCGTAAAGAAATCTAACGTTCATTTATGCAATATTGGTAAGTCGATTTTGGGATTATGAGAGACAAAGTTGTTTTCATGAGACACGTGAGAAAAGTTTTTTACATTTGAAACTTCACAACAAAACACTGTGAAGGTAATCTTCACAGTGTCTTTGCTGTAAAGGTTCGGCTTTTTTTTTTATCTTCACAACGTTGCTGTGAAGTTTCAAGTATAAAAAACTTGTCTCACGTGTCTCATCAAAACAGTCTTGTCTCATGTGAACCCAACCTGATAAGTCACTACGTACATATAAAATATGTAAGATATGACAACTGAACTTGTGATATGATATTGTGAAGCATGGTCAATTTACGTTCTATACCAACTGTATTTGGATAAAGATAAAGCGACTTTTGAGAAATAAATTACTCTATTTGTCCAAAAATAAATGTATACAAATTTATTTTAGTTTGTTACGAAATAAGTATCTGCTTTCTATTTTTACCATTAATTATGAGATGGTGAAATTGATTACCCTTTCTATCATTAGACAAGGAATCGTGTGATAATACGAGCTAAAGCGAAAAGCAAAAGAAGGGATCTCGACCCTTGATCAATTTTAATCTCACTCTCATCCCATGAATTGCGTTTATCACGAGAATTGATCCGGTGTATCTTGGTCCACTATATTAATGTTAATCTTTAATTAAGATTAATACAATGATGGAAACTCTTTTCTTACTATTTTAATCATAAGTTTTATTATCATCGAAACCTAACCCTCTATCATTAAATTGAAAGATACAACTAAATGTCATTTAATAAATTAAGAAATATATATTTCTCATATTATTACATTTATTTTACGACAAATAAAGTAATAAATTTAAATCAATGCACCCTATACATTTACGTAACTACCCTTACCCTTACACTTACACTTACATTTACACATGTCGTAATTTGATGGGAGGAACATGAAAGTGTTTATTTTCCATGAAATTGAACTTGTGTTGATTAAGTTGCTGGTGATGTAGGTTTGGAGTTTGAATGGAGAACAATGGAATGAGTATGGCATTGGGCATTTTAGATGAAAGCTTCCCAACTTTTCTTGATCAAACCCATAACTTTCCCATAAACCATACAGATCTCACTCAACATTTTCAACCCGATTTCCCTTCAGTTGTTAACACTGATGAAGCACCATCCTATGATGCCTATGAACATTTTGGATTCGACCGAATGATTGCGGATTACGTAAATACGAAATGGGATCATTCTAACCAGTTTTTCGAACCTCCGAAGGAACATTCCGGATTCCACACGCAGATGGATTCGTGGGTTTCTTCTGAAAACAACTCTAGTCTCAGCTCAGACAGTAACGGGTGGCCGTCGTTGAATCTTGATACAGATTCGCGTATCAGCGGTCTTTTGCTGATGGACAACTCGAAACAAGATCATTTTTGTAACAGTAAGAGCATGTCGTCATCGAGGTCAGATTTTGACGATGATAGGCAGATCCAGTTATTGTCGCAAAGTCATCAATCTGGATCGAAAAGGTATCTTACTATGATTCAAGAAATTCTTTCGGAAATCACGACCTGTTTTCTCGGAGATGTCGAGAAAACGAGCCATAAACAGATGGATTTAAATGATAGATTTGAGGGTCACAATCATCCTGAATTAAGAGGATTGGGAGTCAAAGCAATAAGGAAACATTTGCTGGTTTTACTACAACAGGTATGTACCATCGATGCCACCTTCTACAACAAAATCGGGTTTATATATAAACTATTTTATACTGTACAAGTTATATGTAAAAGCGTTATAATATGCTTTTAAACGTGGTATTTATTTTGTGACAACACTCTAAAAAACTTTGGATCCTCTTCTTAAGACGTCTTATAAACTCATTGTAACCCTTTTACATAAGACATACAATTGTTTGTTTCAATAAACTTAAGTCATATAAAACAGTCTCTTATGATATTTTCTGTATTGATCAGGTGGATGAACAGTTTAACCGATGCTTAAGTGAGGTTCATAGAGTAAAGTCTGCGTTCCATGTTGTTACAGAGTTGGATCCGCGGATGCATGCTTCTTTCGCTCTTCAAACAATCTCGTTATTCCGTAACAACTTAAGGAAGAGATTACGTAATCGAATTCTTGCAGTTGGACCCGATCTTAACGAAATCGATCCAAAGGAATCCGAGTTATCGTCTCTTCTACGAAAGCATTGGGCACATCAGCGGCTAAGAGGAAAAGGTCAACAGTTGTGGAAACCACAAAGAGGTTTGCCTGAAAAATCGGTTTCCGTTTTGCGAGAATGGATTTTTCAAAACTTTCTTCGCCCGTAAGCTCGTTTGCTTTTCACAAAAACGAAAACCGTATATCAAGGTTCGTGTTCGAATCTGATTGAGTTGATTTCGCATCAAATGCAGGTATCCGAAGGATTCAGAGAAACAGTTGTTGGCTGTTAAAAGCGGATTAACAAGGAGCCAGGTATGTGACTGTTTTGAATACATCACTGCAATAAGATCGGGTTTATTGGACGTCAAAAATGTCCAAGTGTCGTAATAGACTGTTTTGTAGGATTTATGTTTATAAGATCAAACAATTATGTGTTAAAAGTATCACGCTAAGCTTATATTATGTTTTTGAAATGCATTAACAAGTTTTTACGAAAGTTTTCTATAAGAACACTTTGAAGAAGTATCATCTGAACAAATTCTTTTATATGGCACTTTTTAAAATAATATCATATAAAAGAAAATTAATTGACATTTTATTTCAACACTACCATAAAAAACTTGTTAAGATGCTCAAAAATGTTTTATGAACTTATTGCAATGCTTTTACACAGGACACACAAGTGTTTGACCTATAAACTCAGTACTATAAAACAGTACATTAGTACACTTATGGGCCGTTTACCAAACGCTTACTCGGGTAAGTGAACACCAAGTCATTTTACCTTATCGGATGAATATGGTAAGGATCAAGAATCTTACCCGATAAGAGCAAGACAAGGACCAAGAGTTTTACCCGGTAAATGGTAAATGAAGGCAACGACTTTTACCACGGTAAGCGCTTACCGGGTAAATTGTTGCATACGATACCGTTTCGGTGTTATCCGGTAAGTAAATGATAGTGTTAAATTTACCGATAAGCGCTTACCGGGTAAGTGTTTGGTAAACGCCCCTTAGACATTTATGGCACCCAATGAAACCCTATTTCATTGGGTTATTATAGAGCGGGGTTGATGACTATATATAGGTGTCAAACTGGTTTATAAATGCACGAGTTCGATTTTGGAAGCCGATGATCGAAGAAATGTACGTAGAGATGAAGACGATGACAACTGCTGGTGATGAAGAAACTGAAAGCAACCATAGAATTAGAACCCATCACCAAGAACACTAGTATATAAAACAATGATGTCCATGGTTGAAATATTGTAGCTACACACAATAACCTCAAACTCCTTTATGTTATTTTCTTTGACAGGCTTAGATCAGGTGGTTTTCATAAGATCAGTTTTTTACGCTTGAAACTTCACAGCAAAACACTGAAAACGATTAAGGTGAGGACTATAAGCTAAATAGTGAGAGTGAGATTGGCCGGAACAAGAGGGAAGGATGACTCAAAAGTAAAAGAGATGAAAACTGAAATGGTAACATTATTTCTTGTTTTGAACAATAGTTGTTCAAAGCAAGGACCAAACTCTTAGGGGTTGGTCACGGGTCAAACAATGGGTTTGTTTCTCGAGATTGATCACTAGTTTGAGTCTTGTTATGACAATTAGAGGGTTTTATGGATGTTAACTTAAAAAGATTCTACAGTATTAGTTGATGTTCATGCAAGTTTGTTTAAACATCCACAGTTTTATAAATAAATGAATATATATATATATATATATATGACTTTTTAGGCGACATTAAAGTCACATACAAGTTCGCATGGTGAATGCTTACTGTGTAGGATTCTCAGCTTCGCCATGTTCACACGATAAAGTTAAAAACATCCGGTAAACGCTTACCTTGAAAGTGTTTGGTGAATGGCCCTTTAGAGTATTGGGAATCAGAGTAGATCACATTTCTGGTTTGGAGCAAGTCTCTTGGCCCAAGTCATGTCCAAATAAATCACGGTTCCACGAATGAATATACATAATTGGAGAGAGAATGTGAATATGAATTAAATAAATTTAAAATAAATAAAAATCTAATGTATCTTAATTTCATTGGTGGAACAAGAAGTCAGGAATGGAACTTGTGATTTTGGGATAAGTAAATTTATCCAGGTTCGACATTCCTGACAAGACCCAATTTTTGTAAATCCTAGGTATTCCGATCTACAAAAACGTGGTTATTTACCGTCTTATCCATATGTCCAGTTGGTAACAGGTTTGAAAATAGGGTCAGTCTACACCTGAAAGTTCCTTAACGAGTCCTATTGATCCTTTGTATGATAAGATTTTCTATCCAAATATGATGTCTTTTAACTAAGTGTGTCCGCAGTTCGTATGGACAATTTGACCCCACAAACCAAACCGCAATGGCGGTTTAAAAAAATTTCCAAAATCGAACAAACGGACCAAACCGAATCACATAAAGACGGTATGGTCTGATCGGTTTAAGCATCTTGGCTCTATTATGACCTTTAAATTAAAAAATCATAACATCACTCTGCAAAATTACTTTTTTGCCAATATAACATTGCTAAAAATATTATACTGAATTATAAAAGAAACATTTATCTCTAAAATAAATAAATAAATATTAAGCAAATTGAACAAGTTCACAAACAATAGTTGAAATTTTAGACAAATATAGAGCAAATCAAATGACGATTTAAAATTTTGGAATTTGACTTTTGATGGATTTGGGTGTTTTGCTGGTTTAAAGAACACGGAGAATTGCTAAGTAAAAACTAAAACCTTAATGAAAACAGGAAATCAAACGTAATTAATATATGTGTCTTTTGGCTGTTGGTTCGGTCCAAATCGTTCAAAGAAATATTCAAACTGTATGCTAGACAGACTGGACTAAACAATTTAGCTATTTTTCAGATCGGACTAGACAACTGAACCGCTCAAATCATTAAAAATGATTTGTTTAAACTTGTAATGGCCCTACTTTTAACGTGGCGTAACAAAATACTAATAACCATTTATTGGGAAGAATTTGATTTATGATATCGGTTTAAACACGAAGACACCGGAATCATCGATCATTTCAAGCCCAACATTAATTGGCAACTCCAAACAGTTGGGGGAAATTGACCCGACCCGGTTCAAACTAAGCAAGCCACGCCCCTCTTCTTCTTCTTCTTCCCCAGAAAACAATACCCTTCACCTCAAACCCTCTTTCTCTCTCTACGCTGCGAGATTCTCTTTAGGGTTCCGATGGCTCTCCTCGCCAGACAATCGCACCGCCTCGCTCTGCTGGCGTCTTCCCAAAGAGCCACCGCATCGATCCATACCACCCAGCCGGCGTTAGCTGAAGGCTTCTCCTCACCGGCGCCGTACTCTCGACCAGGTCCTCCTTCGACGGCTTCCGCAGAAGGTTTATCTAAGACGGCGGAGTTCGTGATTTCGAAGGTCGACGATCTGATGAACTGGGCACGTCGCGGATCTATTTGGCCTATGACTTTCGGTCTCGCTTGCTGCGCCGTCGAGATGATGCACACTGGTGCTGCTAGGTATGATTTGGATAGGTTTGGGATCATTTTCAGGCCTAGCCCTAGGCAGTCTGATTGTATGATTGTTGCTGGCACTCTCACCAACAAGATGGCCCCCGCTCTTCGCAAGTACGCCCTTTTCTACCTCTCATATGTATATGTATGTGTGTGTGTATATATATATTTAACAATGAACTAGCATACTCAAGACTGTAATTCGTAATTTGATGATTATTTTTGTATGCAAATTATTTGCAAATAGAAATCCGAGCTTCTGTGCTGTAAATTTTTGTTTTGGATTCTAGGGTTTCATGACTGTGTACTGTATGATTGGTTATACTTGTGGAGGCCTTTCCTTTTTCTAATTTAAGATGGCAACCACAAACTAATAACAAAACAACTGATGCCAATGCTGGCACCCACAACCACATTGTTCAAGAGGTTTGATAGGAAACTGGTGGACCAAAAGGCCACTGGGAGCTAGTGCGAAACGTTTGATTGGTAGGTTTTTTGTTATGCTGCTTGAATCCTTTGTTTTGGTTTTCTAAATTGATGAGTATCTTACTATGATCAACGATGCATCAAGGAATATAGTCGCCACGTTCTTAGTTGGGTGTTTTCCATTTGTGGTAGTTGCATCAATAGATAGTATTTTTCCCAACACACGGGCTGCCCAAGCACAATAGCTAAGTTCTTATCCTCTTACATCATTCATATTCCATAGTATCTTTATAGAAAAGGCCTGGAAGAGTGATGTTGAATTGTTGATGTGAAAATTTATATGATAGATGCTAAATAGTGGAGATTTTTTATGCTGATATGGGGCCCAATGATTAGACTCTTACTTTACTTGATATTGTAGCATTGAACTTGTGGTTTTATATGAAGTTAAGGGGCTGTTTGGCAGTTGCTGAATGATTTAGTGCAGAATAGTTAAGAGGTCAGAATGGCTAAGAGGGTCAGAATGGTTAAGTACTGAATGAAATATGGTTGTTTGGTAAATGTTTTCTGAATGATAACAAATTACCATTTTAACCCTCAATAATATTAAATAATTTAAATTAAATTATAAATAACAAAAATCATATATGTATATACATTCCAGTTTCATCGCCCCCTTCATCTCCTACCATCTCTCCTTCCCTCCGTCGCCGCTGCTCAGGCCTTCCCCTCTGTCTCCGCCGCTCAGGCCTTCCCCTCCGTCGCCGCCGCTCAGGCCTTCCGCCTCTGCCATCCCTCTCCGTCGCCAACTTCGATCGACTGTTCCGGTGACCAACAAGAGAGGGGTGCAGGGTTCTATGATTTGATTTTTGGGTTCTATGATTTGAGACGGAGATGGAGACGGTGCAGGTGGCCGGAGATGGAGACGGTGAAGGCGGAGATGGAAGGCGACGTGAACTCGTGGAAGGCGACGTGAACTCTGGATGGAGACGGTGAAGGCGACGCTGGAAGAGAGGGGTGGGAGGGGTAAAGATGGAACAAATGATGTCTCAATGGTTGAGTGAAGCACCAGGTGCAAAATGGTTAAGAGGTGTTTGTAACCATTAAGAGGTTGTTTTTTTTTTTTTGCCAAACACACGCAACCTCTGACCGATTCAGCGATTGGCTCTTAATGTAACCATTAAGAGCCTACCAAACAGCCCCTAATATGTTATTGAAAAATCTTGAACTTCATTCATACAAGACTAATCTTGATTTTGGGAGATCCTTTATCTTCTTTTCTTGGGTATGTGTACTACTGTCATTTCTTCTTTGGACATTTTAATACAAAATGAATATATCCGGTTAATATGGTATTAATAGGAGCTAGTTGTTCAGGGTTGAAGTGTGTGTTATTCACTTGTCTGAAAAAACTGCTGTCAGATTGATCGACTTTTTAGGGTATGGAGTTGTAGAACTTGAAGCCATTTCTACGCATCATATGCTTGGTCTCAGTTTTAGACTATTGAATGGGCTTAAATAGATACGTTGGGTGTGGTCATACATTATATCATTGCTGTTCGAAGGGGTAGACTTACGTACATTTAGCAACATGTGTGCTTTTACATTTTGTCCTCGTGTCATTCTGATTTAATGCTCTTGTGGTTGTGGCATATATTTTACCTGGTGGGTTGCATACTTTTCTCTTAGACAAGACAGTTGAGCACTAATCTTTTAAATGTTATTTGTATAAATTGACTAGGAATTTCCATTAGGTTATGTTGGGTGTTGTTTTACCTTGTTATGCTTGTCGGAAGTCATATAGGTATTGTGGCCTTAAGCTATTGAACCTTGGTATTTCTAAATGGTTCCTGCTAGTTAATTGTCATTGTACTTGCTACTTTTGTTTTGGTAATCGTGGGTGTCCGGACCAGTCACGCACTTTGACTAATTCATGAGGCCCTCAAGTTAACACCTAGACATACCCTCCAGCGGCCCTGAAGGGACTTGAACTGGTCCCTCTGGGGAGCAAACCTAAGGCCTTACCTGTTAAGCTGTCCCTCAGGCTTACTTCCTATCTTGTGGTAGTCTCGATTTTTTTCCTCTCAATAGCACTGTTATCTCTTAGGACAGTCTGTTAGTTTTTTCATAATGGGACCTAAGGGCTAGGCTTAATTACTTTTATTTGAAGAACTGTGTTATTATTGAGTTAAGCTCAAGATACATATTATAGATTCTGATATTAATGAAAGGTAAGCTCTTCCTGATGACTATAGAATCAATTGATTGAAATATAAGATTATCTGATGTAAACAAGTAGCATGAATGTTACTTTCTTCATCCCATAGGCATCTAAAGTAAATTTTTTAAAATCATCCCGTAGAATTCCTGCAACCTGTACCTACCAGTTTGGCTCAAATGGCTGTTTTCTCTTTCGCTGTTGCTTTTGCTTTATTCTCGAGCAATGTAGTAGGATTTTTGTAGCAGAAAGCACCATGATAGATGAATAGTTGATTAAAGAGAGCTCCATAATTGTTATCAACCATTTGTGAAGCTCATATAAAAGCGTTTCTAATAGGCTAAAGGAAGAGCCACAGTTTTTTTGAAAATAATTTCAATAAGCTAAAGGAACAGCGTCTCTATCTCTTGAGACAGAGACATAGGTAAGGTCTACCTACATCCTACCCATAACCCACCACAGACCCTACAGCCAGTGGGATATAATGGGTCTGTTTTGTTTGGTTTGGTTTTCACTGTTATTGTGGTGATTATGTGGATCTTGTTTGCTATTTTTTTTAGCATATAATATTTATAATATACGGCAAATTAAACTCACACAACCTCCTTACCTTTGGTGAGGCTTGAGCTCTTGGCCTCTAAGAAGGTTAGGTTACTTGATACCATTGGTCCAACAACCATTTGGTTTGTTTGCTATTTGCTGACATCCTACCTCTCCCAGACCCTACCTCCAGCCTCCGGGTCTAATATAATGGGTAAAGCGAAGTGATTGGGTGATTATTGGTGCAGGGTGTATGACCAGATGCCGGAGCCAAGGTGGGTGATTTCGATGGGAAGTTGTGCAAACGGAGGTGGATACTACCATTACTCATACTCGGTTGTTCGGGGTTGTGATAGGATTGTGCCAGTGGACATTTACGTTCCAGGTTGCCCACCAACAGCCGAGGCTCTCTTATATGGACTTCTCCAGTTGCAGAAGAAGATCAACAGGCGTAAGGACTTCCTTCACTGGTGGACCAAGTGAGACAAATACTCTGCTTTTTGCAATATGCTTTTATTGAATAAGTTGTGTATTCGTTCTTCCTTCTTGCTTATGTAGGAAGAGCGATTCTGTGATTCTTCTATCAACGGTTTTTGTATGCTTTTTTATATTGTTGTTTTGTGTTAAGATGGGGATTGAATAAGACACCCATAAATGCATGCTTTGTGTAGAAAAATGTGTTGTTGATACTCTTAATTTCTTAATTTAGTGCTTAATTTGGGTTATAATGCTGGAGTCTTGGAAGAGAAGATGCAGCATTGTATCTTGAATTATGTTCCTCATGTTCATTGTGTGGTTTGAAGCATGGTTTGTATGGTATGTGGGCAGAGTATTTGATTTTTATGATGGGAAGATACTGATGTTTGTATGTAAAGCATCTTTTCTGAACTCAATGACATACGGTCTAAGGGGTCATTTACGACCTACCAGGTGAGCATGATAAGGACAGGGTAAGAGACGCTTACCAACAATCCGTTTTTTATGATCGAGAATATTACTCAATAATGCAAGTGAAGGTAGTGACTCTTGTTTGTAAGTGCGTAAGCATTCGATAAACGGCCTCTAAGTTCAATTTTGAGACTTAAGGGTCTACTAGCTGAAAATAGGTACGCTTATTGGGTAAGAATCTGATAAAATAAGTAGAGTATAAATGTATCTTACCCAGTAAATGTCAACCGGGTAAAAGTCGCACATTCATTTACTGAGTAAGATTCTGAGTTAGCAAAGTGGCACGATAGGATTAAGATCTTTGGTTAACAAACTGACATGGTCAAATTGTTGATAAAACCATCATGTCTTACCGTGTAAGCGTATGTTACTGGTATGAGACAATAAGTGATTAGTTATGCGATAAGTGGTTGATAAGGTAAATGACAATGTAAAATCATCTTAAAGAACTTGTTTAATATTAAATGAAAAAGTAAGAGGTATGAATTGGAAAAAAAAAAAAAAAGAATGGGAAGAACCCTTGGAGCTCTTTGAATCACTACTTAACTTATGGTTGTTAAACATGTACCTATAATAAATATAAGATGGCCTCGGTTTGACTCGAATATGATTTAAAGATTAAAACCAATTCAATCATGGAAAAACTTGACTCGAATATGAAACAAAGCCCAAGTTCTTTTTTATATCATTCCAACTAAACATGGCCAAATCAGATAACATGTCTCTTTATGGTCAGTCATAGTGCTGAAAAACATAACTGGTTATGACGATCATGATCTCACTTTGCCAATTAAAAAATTTGTGCATCATGATTGGTATAACTAGTTACTTGAGTACTCCTTTTTTTTTTTTTTATACTTTCAAACTTCTTTATTATATATATATATATATATATATATATATATATATATATATATATATATACCCCATTGGGTTTCGGTGAGAATTCCCACTTTTTGGCAAAACCCATTAAGAACACTTGGGTTTTGGTGAGAACTCCCACTTTTTTTTGAACCGATAAGCAACCCTCAATTGCTCATGTTTTTGTGAAGGTTAGGCACTTCGGTCTTTTGTTTTTCCATATCTGGCATGTCAAGATTGAGTTTTTGAAAGTATGTTAACATGTTCCCGGTAATATATGTCAACTTATGTTAATATGTTAACATATTATATTTCTATAAATTACAAACACACATTAAAAAAATGTTCTATACTTTGATCAAATAAAATTCTATTTATTTGATTACAAGTATAAACAAAAAAGAAGAAAATGTAGACTTCGAAGACTCGTCAAGTTATTTAAGACCATATAAGATGTGAAAGTTGTTTAAACTTTCAAAAGGTCGTCCACTAAAAATCATCAGTTGTTTGTATATCGGAACGATCGTAAAAGCCTCACCAGATCTAATTCTTCTTCACCCTATGTTGGTTGAGTCCCAATATATTGGGTTCCTTATTTTCTTGACTATCTCGTCATTAATATAGGTAAGTTTATTCTCAAGTGATTGGATGTGTTGTATTCAGTTGTAGCTATCCAAGTAATCCTTGAGGCAAACACAAGCCACTTTTGACTCTGGTGTTAGTCGCATCCTTCTTCTGAAATCACTTGCCACTAAAATAGCGTGCCAGCTTGAACAGTTAGTAAATCTTGTGTAAAAGCAGAGAGAATTGAAAATTGACCACCCTTTTCTTCTACCATGCCAAGACATCAAGGTGATCAAGATAATCACAGGATCCATATAAATACCTAATACAAAGGGTAAAAGGACAAAAGCATTGGCCAATGAGAAGTTGGCATGCAACAACCTAAAAGTTTAAAAACTAGTATAGTAGTTCGGTCCCTAAGGCCCGGTTACATGATTGGTTATCGAAGGCCTAATCTCTTATTCAAATACCGTAATTGTTAGTCCTTACTGGTTACACTTTGGGTCAGATTGGTTGGGCTTTACTCACAATTAACCTTAATTGATCCGATACAAATGGTCGGTTAGGTTTCCTATGCTAATTCTAAGCCGACAAACTCAGCTTGTTGCCTACACGGTATCCATGCAAATGATCTTAACCCAGTTGACGTACAAAGCCAAAGGAGGAGATCCTTTTTCTTCCCCGAAATGCTAGATATGGTATCCAACTATTTGGATGGATGAGAGAAAGAACAGCTTGTAAAATATATAGAGAGAAAGAATTGATCTAGATATTGCAACCAAGCTTGTCATTGTCTCACAATGGCTCTATATTTATGTAAGTATAATGATGGTTCTTATAATAAACTAGTATTATAAGTACCATGTCTGGAATAGTGGTACATGCTTCTATAAGATCTCATATCTTCTAAAGCATGCTTATCCTTTTTACACATACATAATTAATAAGTCACTACCTGTCAATCCTATCCTATCCTATCGCATGTTTGTCAAACAAGCTAGCTTTGATCTAGGTATATTTAATTAGATTAAATATCACAAAATCAAATATAATAATTAAACACTTTAATTATTTATTTTTCTTATTCAAATATACTTTTTATGCATGTGACTTATTGAGACTTTATCATGTTGGCAATAATTATAAATCGTATTTATAATTATAAACAAAGATATACATCTAACAATAAATCATCAATACCCAAATGATGAAGTTTGGTGATTCAACTAATCAACAAACCGTGTGATCGTTATAATTTATAAGTATAAGTATTTATGTCCCTTTGTCCTCGATATCCAGATTGAATACGAGACATTGATATGTCATCCTCGTTATGTCTAATCTTTAGTTTCTCGATTTTGGAATTAAGACAAATATTAATGTTAGTCCTGATTTTAGTGTTAAAAGCGTGAAAAGGAAAACTTGAACGTAAAGTAGGAAATTCACTATTCCTTGTATTTCCCTATAAAAATATGAGTTACTGAAAATTTGAAAATCACTATTTCTTGAAAACATTTCATCTCCAAGTACCCCCATTATTTCAATCCTTGTAAGATGGATGGCTATAATGACTATGATTCTATGTTCATGTTGTTCTTCATATTGATTTATAGTCCTTTCATTTCTAAATTGTTTTGATCTAAATTGCTTCCATTTTACATATTTTGTTTTGATTATTGATTTAATATGAGATATGGATTTCAATAATTGATACCATAGCAAATTGATTATTCATATCAAATCAATCGAATTTGCCAATTTTATCTCATTGAATCCAGTTTATTTCATCTCAATTTCTAGATCTGTGTTATTCATCGTTTTTATACTCTATTTTCTAATTGTTTTAAAGAATTACATTCGAATCTGTATTTGAATATGTTTATATTCAAGTTCAATTTTTATTTTACTCATATTCGATTCAATAAGTATATTTTCATCAGATCGATAATGAGAATGATAGTTGTGGAAGAAAAATCAAAGATAAATAAAATTGATTATGCATAAAGGTGTTCGATAAATTGCTTACGAGAGATTTTGTTTCTTGAAATGACTAGTTGTGTACCCGCGAATGCGGCGGGAGCCATGAATTTTAACGATTTTGAAGTTCTACTGGTTTTATAAGATACGATTTAACGATGATATAAGTTACATTTGGTCTTTACATATTGATACAATTTGAATAAATAAGAGTTATGGTTCCAATTACAGACTATCGATGAAAAAAATTGTATGACAGTTTAAAATCAATATATTTAAACGACTCCACAAATGTGTTCGATTTACATCAAGAACAAATAACCAAAAAACTTGAGTTTTAAGATAAACACTCAATACTAATAAAGAAAACTACAAATTTAACATATCATAAGCCATGAAAAAACCAAAAAAGATRAGTTTTAGAATGAAATTTCAAYTGYTTACCCTCTTTCTTGTCCAGAAACTCAGATTAAGGTTGAATTACTACATGTATATATATATATATATATATATMYAWTWMMATAWWAMYYMAGAACATATTATATAGTGCAATTTGGACAATATAACACCAAAATATATAGTATATATATATATATATATATATATATACACTATAGAGGAGCGATCAAATGAAAACTACTCCAATTTGTAAAAACCGTAAAAACTACTCTCATCCATCGTTAATCTTATGAATTTTTTTCATGAAATTGTTAATCTTGTGAAATTGTTTCATATAATACTTTTTTTGATGAAGTTGTTTCATATGTGGTTATGAAATTGTTTCATATACTACTTAATGAAATTTTAATGAAACTGTTTCATGTATTTCTCTAAAATTAAAATAATGAAGATGATAACATCCATGATTAACACCCTACACAATAAAAATTGTTAATCAACCTCTCATAATTACAAAAAAATGAACAAAATGAAAAATTATGATTGGTTGAATGAGGTTTTCACGGTTTTTACAAATTGAGTGATTTTTATTTGAACTCACCCCTATATATATATATAAATATAAAAATATAAATCATAAATATTAAAAATATTTTTTCACAGTATATATAATATATAATAATATAATTAAGTTAAAAATTATTCAATATTGGACTCATTTCGAAGGTATTAAAGAGACGATTATAATGGTGCAACTTGTTAAAATAAAAATGTATTTTTTAAACATGTTTTAATTGATATACGATTATGTATATTAATTCGATAAAAGTTTAAAATGAAACATTTAAAAGTAAATGACGTAAAGTAAATTAATTAATTAATTATAGGGGTATAAAGTATAAATTTAAAATTATAATTTAAAAAAAATCGCTTGTGAGAGGGTGAGTGCATGTGAGGAGAAGAGAGGGTGAAAAAGTGAAAAAGTGTATAAATGGTATCTTGGTCATTTAGTATTTTAAGACTTTATAACT